ATGGTTGTCGTGACAACGTTGTATTGAGTGTGAAAGTGCCTTATCTCATCTATTGTTGAGTACAAGGCGCTCCTCAGGTCTGCTTCTTTCGATGAATTAGCCTATTGTTGACATGTGCTTAGTTCACCACTCTGCCATGCTAGGCTCTATCAATAGTGGAGGATAAGAAATAATCAAGGACATATGGGGGACTTCCAGTTCCTCATCCAGCATCTGAGGAATGTGGAAGTCATCATTTCTGTTCCCACAAGAAAAAAAAGCAGAACAAAATAGAAATCAATGACTTTTTCAGATCCATCAGATAATTGAAGTCACAGGAACAGCTGATACCCCCCCAAATTGGACAGACACACAGAAGGGTATAGAGAATCACAATTTGCTGGAGCAGAAAACCCTGCAGGAATTAGTGAACCCGTGTCATTTGTCTGGGGAAATACCCAAGGTTTGTTTCACTCTAAAGAAAACTAAGACACAGACGTACAAATTGTGGGTTTAAGAGTGGAAGGTTGAACAGGTGAATGAAACAAGAGAAAAGCTCCCCAGTGTAGGGGGGGAGTTCCAATCAGATCTCCCCTTTTCACGGCAGGATGCGGTTGATTTAATAGAGGGGCATGAGGAGGAGGTGTCTGGTTTATATAAGGCCCAGGGGATTGGTTGGACCAAGTGTACCATTTACATAGCCTGTGAAGAGGCTGGGGCCATCCCACCCTAATCTTTTATTATGAATATGGGGTCTCTGTCTGGCTAGTGCCATGACACCCTCACATATGGCCTACAGCTTTTGTAGCTTAATTTTTCAGGCTACTTTTTGTTAGTAAATAAATTATTTGGGGACTGCTTTTTATTAAAAGGAAAACCTTACCGAGGACTAATGTACCCTCACGAGCTGCCAAAATAATTTCTTTTTAACTCCTATATCACTAGTAGTGTGGCAGGTAAACCTAAATAGCAAGTGACAATTTGATAGCTGTCCATGGTGGGTAAGTTTGAGAGTTAACAGTTCCATAAGGGCCCTGACATTTTTCTGAGATTTACCCCTAGGAGCCCTACCAGGTTTTCATAATAAAGACTAAAAAAAAAAAAAAAAATACTCTCTTGCCTCCAGTTTTCCAAAAGTAGCCAGTTTGAAGTAGAGCCAGAGCATTCTGTTCTTAACTAGGCCTGCCTTCTACAGAAAGTATTCTACCAGACTCACAACTACTCAGGGTTTCTGCAAAACCCATGCTGCTGGGTTTTTACCATAGCCTTACTGATCTGAAAAGGGAAAATTCAACTATGTCCTTCCGTAGCCCTCCACATGGGGGAAACAAAATACTCAGTTCTAAGTCTTCCATGTGGCGGGGAAAGAAATACCCACTTCTAGCTCGTCTATTCTTTCCTTCTTAATTAAGAGAGGGGGTTGGGGAAATGAGAAACAGCCACAAATTCCACAGCTCAGAGGCACAGGTGTATTATAAGGGGGTAACAAGGGAATATAACTAAAAGAACTGCACTTGGGAGGCCGAGGCAGGTGGATCACGAGGTCAAGAGATCGAGACCATCCTGGTCAACATGGTGAAACCCCATCTCTACTAAAAATACAAAAAATTAGCTGGGCATGGTGGCGCGTGCCTATAATCCCAGCTACTCAGGAGGCTGGGGCAGGAGAATTGCCTGAACCCAAGAGGCAGAGGTTGCAGTGAGCCAAGATCGCACCATTGCACTCCACTCTGGGTAACAAGAGCTAAACTCCATCTCAAAANAAAAAAAAAAAAAAAAAAAAAAGAACTGCACATCTCAGGCCTTTTCAAGAAAAAAAAAAAGGGAAATCCCAAAGACAACAGGGGAGATGCAAACAAAGATACCACAGAATTTCGTAGCCTGATACTTATGGCTACAGCAAACAATAAACCAGATACCATAAACCACACACTGACAGCCTGTTTGCCTGTCTGAGTTCATTTTACCCAGATGTCACTTCTGGCTCGCAACATAAAACTACAAAGCAATTAGAAGAGACAAGTAAGCGTCAGAACCAGACCCAGATATGGCATAGACGGTGGGATTATCAGGCCTAGAATTTAAAACAACTATGATGAATGTGCTAAGGGCTCTAATTTTAAAAGTCAGAAACGATGCAAAAACAGAGACATAATGTAAGAAGAGAGATCAAACTCTGAGAAAGCATAAAAAGAGAATTCCAGAAATCAAATACAGGCTAACAATGTTCATCAAAAGACTGTACACAGCAGAAAAAAGAATCAGGGATCACCAAGTAATGTCAATAGAAATTTGTAAAACAAAAATGCATAGAGAAAGAAGACTGAAATGGCAGGACCAAATGTTCAAGAACTGAGGAGAATTACAAAAGCTGTGAAATATGCATAAGAAGAATACAAGGAGGAGAAGAAAATAAGAGAAAAAGTATTTGGGGCCAGGTGCGGTGGCTCATGCCTGTAAACCCAGCACTTTGGGAGGCCGAGGTGGGTGGATCACGAGGTCAAGAAATCGAGACCATCCTGGTCAACGTGGTGAAACCCCATCTCTACTAAAAAATACAAAAATTAGCTGGGCATGGTGGCACGCCTGTAGTCCCAGCTATTCGGGAGGCTGAGGCAGGAGAATTGTCGAACCTAGAAGGTGGAGGTTTCGGTGAGCCGAGATCACACCATTGCACTCCAGCCTGGGTAACAAGAGTGAAGCTCTGTCTCAAAAAAAAAAAAAAAAAAAAAAAAAAAGAATAAGGAAAAGTATTTGAAGAAATATTGAGTGAGAAATTCCCCAGATTAATGACAAATAAGAAACTAAGAAACAACAGATCCAGATATTTCGGAGAACAGGAATCAGGCTAATACCACAAAATCTACACATAGGAATATGATTTTCAAACTGCAGAAAATCAAAGACAATGAGAAAATCTTGAAAGCCAGAGGAAAAAAACAATACCTTACCTATGCAGGAGCAGAAATTAAAAATTACATTGACCAGTTCTTCAGAAACCACACAAGCAAGATGAGAGTAGAGTAAAATGATTAAAATTCTCAAAGGAANAAAAACTCTCCAATCTAGAACTTTGTATTAGTGAAATTATACTTTAAAAATGAGAGGAAAGAAGACTTTTCCAGACAAGTGAAAAATGAGGAAATTTTCTTTCTAATAGAACTACCTTGATAAAAGTGGTAAGGAATTCTTCAGAAAGATGAAAAATAATATAAGCCAGACGTTCAGATTTACATAAAGAAAGAAAGAGCATTAGAGAAGGAATAAGTGGGGTAAAAGAACATCTACTTGTTCTATTCATTGGTTTTGGTAGTATTGAAACGCTCAGTGACGATAGTTTATGGAAAATGAAACGAATGACAGCAATGTTACAAGGGGATGTAAGGGAGGGATTAAGAATAATCTATTCCAAAGTACTTACACGTCCAGTGAAGTGGTCTGACACTATTTGAAATGAAACTTGGGTTACTTGTAAATGTGTAGTTCAAAGACATAGCAACCAATAAAAAATATTTAAAAATAAGTATAATTGATATGCTAAGACAGGAGAAAAATAGAATCATATAAAATAATTAAAACGAGAGAAGGCAAGAAAAGAGTGGAAGACAAAAAATAACAAGAGCAACAAATAGAAAACAGTAAAAAATAGTAGCAAATAAGAGAGATTCAAATCAACTAAATTAATAATTACTCTAAACATCAGTGGTTACCAACAGAAAAGCAGAACTTGTCAGAGCGAATGGAAAAAAACAAAACAAAGCAAAAAAAAAAAAGGCTCAACTCTATATTGTCTACAATAAACCCACTTTATGAAAACACAGATAGATTGAAAGTGAAAAAATAAAGAAAAAAAATGCCTAGTAATACTAATCAAAAGAAAGTGGGAGTAGCTATATTCAGTACAAGCAAAGCAGACCTGAAAGCAAGAATGATGTCAGTATTATCGTTGCAGACCTTAACACTCCTCTACAGAAATGGAAGATCCAGCAGACAGAAAATCAGCAAGGATGTAGCTGAACTTAACAGTGCCATCGATCAGCTGAATAGAATTGCTATTTATATACAACTTCACCAAACAGCAACAGAGTACACATTCTTCTCAGGCTGTCACTGAACATTCACCAACATAGACTACATCCTGGGACATAAAACACAACAAATTTACAAAAATAGAAATCTCACAAAATAAATGCCCAGATCATAATAAAATTAAACTAGAAATCAATAACAAAATTAGCTGGAAACCCCGTCTTGGAGATTAATAGACAAATTTCTGAATAGTACATGGGTCAAAGAAGGAGTCTCAAGAGTAAATTTTAAAATATTTCAAACACAATGAAAATGAGATGTGACTTATCTAAACATGTAGAATGCAGTAAAAGCCGCGCTTAGAGGAAATTTTGTAGTACTGAAATTGTTTGAAAACAACATGTAATTTGAAAACTATGTACATACTTGGAAATGACATGCTAAAGCCCTGAGGTTTTGATCTTTTGTGTGGCTCTGTCTGCTCACTTCTAGATCTCCTTGAGCTATTTTAATTGGCAAGGTCTACATCAATCAGCAAAGAAAATGTTTACTGTCATGTGGGATGTGTATTATTCCAATGTCTTTTCCCGGTAACATCAGTACAGCATTCATCCAGTAACAAGGACAATCTTACAGAGGCTGTGGAGGCTGTGTGATATCCAATACTCCACTCAAGCTCCCACGGCTCACAGGTGTCTTGTAAGGTACTGCTCCCAGTATTCTGGCAACAGATGCCAAGATGAATCTTTCCTAGTTACTCTCCTATCAGCATAAAAAATCAAACTTTCACATAATGGAGACCACAGATGGGTAATTTTATTTTCCTTTATGTGCATTTAGTGCCTAGAGCTAACCTGCTAAAGGCATTATCCCTATTTTAACCCAATAAATATAGGAAGAAATAAGCCATTTTGGGACAGGCCCCTTCTCAGCCTGGAACTAGAACTTTCTTGAAAGTATAATTTCCTTGTCTTACAGGCTGGGACCAATGCAGGAAAGCAGCATTTAATAGAAAACAGCACAAGTTACAGTATTATGATCCTCACCACATAAATGAGAAACTGAACTAGGTTAAGCCCTTGCTAAGATTCTGGTGAACAAACCACATTTCAGATCCACGTGGAGGCCTGCTGGACTCTTTCTTTCACTGTGCCATAATTCTGAACAGATTTTCATGGTGCTGATGAAGACCCAGGTAGAATCACTTCCTTTAAACTCTCACAGCACCTCTCTATGGGTTAAGCTTGTTAAGAGGTTTCTGGTACGTGTTTCTTCATATTCTACTGGACAGGTAATTATCAGGCCCACAGGTGCACAGCAACTGTGCTCTGAAGAGTCAAAAATCTAAAAAACAAAACAAAACAAAACCGTGCTAGTTAGAAAGTAAAATTTACATAAAGACAAGTTATTTTCTGCAAGTACTTTTTAGCAATTGCCTCTTTCCAAAAATTAGCATCTTTTGTCTTGAAATTGCAGTGAAGTCCTGTGATTTCTATGCTTATTTTAGACATTCCTTCCTCAAAACCTCATTTTCCATTTCCACCAGAAAAGACTAGTTTGAATTTTACTAGCTATTGCTACTTATTTTTGAGATTAGTGATGTGCTTCAAGAATAAGAGAGTAAGAATCCATTTATTATTTGCTTATCTAAGGCAGCTTATTTTCTGTTACTTCAGGGCTAGAGAATTATTCTTCGTAGCCTGGAATATTACCATACTCTACAGCGTAAACTATTACACTCAATTGAATAATGCATTTTTATTTCTGAACTATTTTCTGCAGAAAAATGGCATGGATGCAGTATAAAACAATCATTTTATGATGAATATGTAACATAATGAAGACATTATAGCTTTCTAATTAAGGCAGCTATATGTTGGAGTTGATATTCTTATAGATTTAAAATTCCTAAAATACATCAATTTTGGTCTTTTTCTTTTTAAATATAGGTCTAACAATCTTTTTACTACATATATAGTTCAGAAATTGTTAGAAGCTTTTCCTCTATCTATGTGATAAAAGGGTTGTCACAGACCTGAATACTAGAGGCTTAGAAAACAGGTAGATCTTTCCTTTTTGTAAGACACTAGTTGAACTTGAAGGTTTCTGTATGGATCTCTAGTTATGTTTTGTTTGAGAGTTATATTTATAAAATGAAAAGTGTGAAAGGGAATTCAGATTTTCATGAAACTCAATGTGCTCCATTTCTTCAGGCCCAACTCTTTGAAATAGAAGTTTAAAGCTTAAAAACTATTCAAGTTCAATTGTATATCTGCAGATACGTCTACTAAATTTTTAAAAGGTCTATATGTCTGATTGCAACAATTAACCTTATTGAATTACTCAACAGATACCTCCAGGATCAGGTACAAAGTAGGTAAAATAGCCTATGTAAAATAATAGTTCACCTAATAAATAGTACTTTCTCAAACCAGAGTTCTATAAAAAATGTATTTTATTTATTTACTGAGTTTATACAAGATTTGTCTTACTAAACTTTTGAAAACCTTTTTGGATTTTTGAAAAACTTTCTGTTTTAACTAAGCAATTTATTACAATGTAAATTAATGTTAACTGAAAAGCCAATTTTAAAAAGTATATTGTGACAATCTTTTAACTGTTTTCAGCATGAAAAAATTAGTCCCAATGTGTGACATCTAAATAAACTTTCAACAACTATTGGATTTTGTTTTTAAAAATATAATTTAGTGTTGATACATTTTTGTGTTATCTATACAAATGTGCTAAAATATAATAGTTCTTGACTTAGGCAAAATTAAAAATCTTGAAAATCAGTAATCCTATGACTCAAAATTCATGCAGAACTTAATTCATTAATCGAATTTGGAAACATAAAGAACCATGTGTATGATATTTCATATGTATATGTATATATGAAAGATATACATACAGTTTATACAATTGTGCAGTATGTATAATTTGAACCTGGTGCCAAATCTGGAGAAGCAAAATCTTAACATAAATGTTAACAAATAGTTTATCAGGCAAAGAGGAAATAATAATGCACCAAGTTGACATAAAATTGAGGCCAGGGATGATGGCTCATGTCTGTGATCCCAGCACTTTGAGAGGCCAAGGCAAGAGGATGGCTTGAGGCTAGGGTTCAAGACCAGCCTGGGCAGTGCAGCAAGACCCCTGTCTCTAAAAAATAAATTTTTAAAAGAAAAAATTAGCTGGGCTTAATGACTCAGCCCTATAGTCCCAGCTGCTGGCGAGATGAAAGTGGAAGGATCTTCTGAGTTTTTGAGGCTGCATTGAGCTCTGATAGCGTCACTGTACTGCAGTCTGGGTGACAAAGTGAGACCCCCATCTCTAAAAAAAAATTGAAAATATGGTCACTAATTGAATATATGCTACCAAAATTTTATGCTTTGAAGAAAATCTTGTCTCATCCAAAAAATCGTAACTGGACTCTATTCAGAAATGTAGAGACTTTTAGTTAAGTAAGGATAGTTCCTGGTGTGTCAAATTCCTTAAGATGGTACTCATTTCAAAACGGACGCTGGTTAAGTAAGAAGCAAAACTTCATCAACAAAGATATGTGGTTTTTTTTGTTTTTTTTGGTTTTTTTTTTTGATACAGAGTTGTGCTCTTGTTACCCAGGCTGGAGTGCAATGGCGCGATCTCGGCTCATGGCAACCTCCACCTCCTGGGTTCAAGCAATTCTCCTACCTCAGCCTCCCGAGTAGCTAGGACTACAGGCGCATGCCACCATGCCCAGCTAATTTTTTGTATGTTTAGTAGAGACGGGGTTTCACCATGTTGACCAGGATGGTCTCGATCTCTTGACCTCGTGATCCACCTGTCTCAGCCTCCCAAAGTGCTGGGATTACAGGAGTGAGCCACCTTGCACGGCCCATAGATATGTTTTAAGAGGTATAACCTTGAACTCTCTCCTCTCAATCTGTTTCTCCTACATACATATTTATCTTCAATTTAAAGATTTTTTTTGGAGGGGCAATTAAATAAGACTATTAGCAAAGCTCAACCCAGGTCGACCTGATTTAACTTCTACACCCTGTAAAATGATGGCTATTGAACCGTGAGGCCTTTATGCCATTAGCCTATGTAAAGGATACATAAGGAAACAGCCCATGAAATACCCTCTCGTGTGGACTCACATGATGCTCAGCCTCATCACTCAGTTGTCAAAAACATGGCAAAGGCAGCACAGAGTTCCCATTTATCACACATTGGGTTTCCCCCTTATTCACAGTTTAACATCAATATGAATATGGTACATTTGCATGATTAAAAAAACAATACCAATTTATTAAGTATAATCAATCATGTTTTTAGATTTTCTTAACCTAATGTCCAGAATCCCATCCACAATAGCGCGTCACGTTTGGTCACCATCTCTTCTTAGACTCCTTTAGACTGTGGCAGTTTCTCAGGCCTTCTGTGTTTTTGATGATCTTGACAGTTTTGACATGTATTGGTCTGGTGTTTTGTAAAATGTTTCTCTATCGCCGATTGTCTGATGTTTTTCTCATGCTAACAGTGGGGTCATGTGCTCTGGAGAGCAAGACAGCATAGATAAGATGCTCGTTTCATCCCATCGTATCAAAGCTGCATGTTAATCGCATGACTTATCACTGCTGATGTTAAAGTGATCACCTGGCTGAGGCAGTATTTTCCAGGTTTCTCCACTGTCAGGTGACTCCCCAGCCTTTTTCATCCTGTCCTCCTGGGAGGGAAGTCACTGTGCACAGCCCACATTGCAAGGATTGTAGAAGGTAAGGGTTCTGCTTTGGAATGTTTTGTGTGGGAGATTTGTCTATTCTCTTCCATTTATTATGCATTATATCATTCATTTATATCAATATGGTTTTGTGGATATTTACTTTGTCCTACGAATTATAATCCAATACTATATTATTTTCCCCAAACTGTTCTAGATTTAGCCACTGGGAGTTTTTTCAGTTAGGTTCCTAGTCCCTTTCATATCTCTCTCTCCCAAATTCTGGAGGTTTAGGTTTTTTTATTTTAGTTGCTATGTGCTATGAACATTTTTGTACTTTTTGGAACTACAAGAAGCTCAAGGCTTATCTTGTATATTTCCTGCCTCATGCCATTTTGCCAAAGAGCCAATATCTGGTCACCTGGTGTTGTCATTGCTGGTGAGGTGCCTTTGCTCCTGGATTTTCTCTGCTAAAAAAGGAGATATACATTTGTACATTAACTTGAGTATGTATACACATCTATGAATATTTCTCTATGCACATATTTATCCATATTTCTATGTTAAGTTAAACATACAATTATACTGAATGATCTAACTATAATCCACACCATATAGATCATTCTGACCTATAGAATGAGTTAGAAATTGTTACCACTTGGTATCACTTTTTCTTTAAATGTTTGGTAATTCACCGGTAAAGTCACTGGGCTTTGTCATTTTGTTTTGGAAACTTTCTAATTATTGATTTAATAAACATAGGCTTACTCAGATTATATCTTTTTCTTTGTGTGACTTTTGGTAGTTTGTAGAACAAGGAATTTGTTCTAATCCGTCTAAGGCATCAACTTTGTGGGACTACAGTTATTTGTAGTGTTTCTTCAATATCATTTTAATGTCCATGGGATCAATAGTTATTACCTCTTTTTCATTTCAATATTGGCAATTTGTGCCTTTTGTCTTTTTTTGTTAGCCTAGATAGACGTTTATCAATTTTACTGATATTTTCAAAAAAACCATATTTTAGTTACGTTGATTTTCTCTGTAGGTTCTTATTTTCAATTTTATTGATTTTTTGCTCTAATTTTTGCTAATCCTTTTCATCTGCCTGCTTTAGACATAAATTTTTCTACTTTCTCTGGTTTTCCAAGATGGAAATTTAGGTTACTGATTTTAGATTTCTGCTTATACAATGTATGCATTTGTTGCTGTAAGTTTGCTTCTGAGTACTCCTTCATTGCATCCCACAATCTTCATAAGTTTGCATTTTCATTTAGTTCAAAATATTTTAATTGTTGTTGAGACTTCTGTGACTTATATATTAAGTGAAACTAGGTTGTTTAATTTTTAGGTATTTAAGGATTTTCCAGCTATATTGTGCTATCATTTTATAGTTTAATCCCACTGTGGTCTGAAAACATACTTCGTTTTATTTCTATTTTTGTATACTAGTCAGGGTGTATTTTATAGCCATGAATGTGGCCTGTATTGATGGATATTCCATGCAAGCTTGAGAAGAATTTGTGCTCTGGTGGTGTTGTATGGAGTATTCTATAAATGTCAATTAAATGCAATTGATTGATGATGCTGTTCACATTAACTGTATCTTTATTGATTTTCCGTCTGTCTTATCTATCAATTACTGAAAGAGGGTGTCGTGAGTCTCCAACCCTGTTAGCAGATTTCTGTATTTCTCCTTTCACTTCTGTCAGTTTTTGTCCCATGTATTTTGACACTGTTGTTAGGTTCACACACATTTAGGACTGTTTTGTCTTCTTGGAGAATTGACTCCTTCATCATTCTGTAATTTTCTACTTTATTTCTTATAATTTCCCTTGTTCTGGCACCAACATGTCTAAAAATAATACAGTGGCTCCAGCTTTCTTTTGATAGACTTGGGTCTTTTTTTCTTAATTCACGCCGACAGTTTCCAACTTTTAATTGGTGAGATTATATCACTTACATTAAAATAATTATGGATGTAGTTGGTTTAATATCTACCATGTGTGTACATTCTTTCTATTTGCCACACTTGTTCTTTATTTCTTACAGTCTTTATTTTTCTTTCTTCTTTGATTTTAATTTAGCGTTTTCTATAATTTCATTTTATCTTTTCACTTACATATTGATTGTACTTCTTTTAAAAATGGTCGAATGGCTTCTAGAGAGTTTACAATAAACTTTTAAAACCAATTCCACCTTCAATTAATGATACATTGCTTTGTTTTCGTGCACTTTATAACAGAGTATTCCCAATTCCCCTCCTTTATTTTATGTCGATGTTACTTATTTCACTTACCTATAGGCTGACGTCAGCAGTGCATGGTTCTTACTATTACTTTAACGAAACAATTATCTTTTAGACAAATAAACAACTAAAATATTTTATTTTAGCTTTATTTATTCCTTTTCCAATATGCTTATTTTCATTATGTAAATCTGAGTTTTTGACAAATATTATTTTTCATCTTCCTGAAGAAATTTTAGTGTTTCTTGAATAGCATTTCTTCGGGTGATGTATAGTTGCTTCTTACCTTTTGAAGCTTTCTTTCTCTAGATAGAATTTTCAAGACTTTTTTCCTTCTTTCTGCAATTTAAAGATTTCACCTCACTCTGATCTTGTCTGCATGGTTTGTGAAAGTCTAATGTAATTCTTATCCTTGTTCCACAATAGTATTTTGTGGGGTTTTGTTTAGTTTTGTTTTTCTGACTGCTTTTAAGGATTTGTCTTTTGTTTTCTGCAGATTAAAAATGATATGCCTAAGTGTAGATATTTTGGTGCTTGTTCTGCCTGGTGTTTTCTTAACACCCAGAATCTGCAGTTTTGTGCTGATCATGAATTTTGAGACATTCTCCTTCATTGTTACTTCAAATACTTATTCTGGCCCCCACTTCCTTTCTTTCTTCTTCTGATTTTCCCATTATGCCTATATTACGTCTTTTGTAACTGGCCCACAGTTATTGAATATTCTGTTCTGTCTTTTTCATGTTTGTTTCTCTTTGCATTTCAATTTTGGAAGCTTCTATTGACATTTTTTCTAGTTTGCTATTTCTTTCTTTTGGCTTGTCCAATCTGCCAGTGAACTCATCAAAACAACTCTATTTCTGTTACAGTGATTTTGAGTTCTAGCATTTCTTTTTGTTTCCATATCCTTACTTAGATTAATCATCTGTTCTTGCATTTCCCACTCTTTCCATTAGAAGTCTTAGCATATTAATTATAGCTGTTTTAACTTTCAAGTCTTTTAAATCCAGTGTCTTCCCTCAGTCTGGTTCTGATGTTTATCCAGTTTCTTCAAGTTTGTGTGTGTGTGTGTGTGTGTGTGTGTGTGTGGTGTGCACGCGCGCGCCAGACATAACGTATTAAGAAATGGGAGCTAAAATTAAAAGTCTGTAGAATTAGACATATTTGTTGGTTGCTTATTAGTTTTTGCCAACCTGGTTAGGTTTCTTGCTGTATTTAACGTTTTCTGTAGCTATAGGTGCCAGATGCCTCCAAATTCTCTAGTGTCCTTGTAGCGTTTCCTCTCTTACCTTTTAGTTTCTTTTATTTTTTTCTTAAATTTCACACTTTTGTTATCCTGTGTTCTGATTTCTTCGATGACTGAGATAGGTCTTTACCCCAATCTATGCATTTTCTAACTATCCTTAAACATACATTTAACACAGGAAAGACAGGTTTCTTTTCTTAATTTATTAATTTATGTCTGCATTTGTTCATGTTTATTTATTGAGTTGTTACATCCATTTTAACTTAAGTCAACAAATAAACCAAAAAAGACGGAGTACCAGATTTAAAGGACTACCTGATGTTCCGATACATTTTCTTTTATTTATTTATTTTTTATTTATTTTTTGATATGGAGTCTGGCTCTGTCGCTCAGGTCAAAGTGCAGTGGCACAATCTCTGCTCACTGCAACCTCCAACTCCCGGGTTCAAGTGATTCTCCTGCCTCAGCCTCCTGAGTAGCTGTGATTACAGGAGTCTGACACCACGCCTGGGTAATTTTTTTGTATTTTTAGTAGAGATGGGCCATGGCTCCATGTTGGCACAGCTGGTCTCAAACTCCTGAGCTCATGTGATCCACTGCCTCAGCCTCCCAAGCATTTTATAGAAAATTATTTGCTGGCTATACTTGAAAGTTCAACTGTTAACCTCCGTACTAACTGATTTTTGTCCTCAACATTAAAAATAATTTTATTAAGCTTTATCTCACTTAATTGGTGATTTAATTTTTAACTTATTGATTAATGAATTTGTTTACATTATTTCCTTGTTCCTGCATTCACTGTGCCACATAATTCCATCAAGGAAATTTTCTAAAGTTTTTAATTATATTTTAATTTATATACTTCACTCAAATATTGCAAAGAACATTTATATATAATTAATGTTTTATTTCTTGTTAATATTAATATTTTAAAATTTTAGTAAAATCATATTTATTTATTTATTTTTACATTATGAAATATCTTGGGGTTTTTGCTTTTTGACCTAACACATAGTAAATTTTTGTAATTTATGGGTAATTAAAATACTAGTTTGCTATTTTTCAGCAGATAACATTTAGTTTATATATCATCTAAACGTATATAGATTAGTATGTCATTTAGAACATCTACATACTTACTTGTTTTTTGCTGTTTAAGCCTTTTTTGACTTTAATTTGCATGAAATTGATATGATAATTCTGCTTTAATTTTTATATATTTACTTTCAACTTTTAGGTAAATTTCATTTTTAGTAGAATTAGAGATTCTTTATGATCCAATCTTAGTCTGTTTTATTTATATTTATAATAAATAACAAATTATTTTGATTATGCTCACACTT